TCTAAAGGACACACTGGATGGCATGGATTTAATTGACATTTATAGAACTTTCAAGCAAAGCTGCAGAATAAACAACTTTCTTCTCAAGGGCACGTGGGTCAGTCTCGAAGATAGACCACATGTTAGGACACAAAACAACTCTCTACACATTCAAGAATATTAAAATAATAGCATCTTCTTATATCACAATAGAATGAAATTAGAAATCAACTACATCAAAAACATTCAAACACATGAAGTCTAAATAGCATGTTTCTAAACAATGAATGGGTTAACAATAAGGTCAAGAAAGAAGTAAGAAGTTTTGAAAACAAATGAAAATGAACACACAACAACCAACATCTCTTGGACACAACAAAAGCAATACTGAGAGGGAAGTCCATAGCACTACAGGCCAAACTAAAAAAAAAAACTACTTAACCCTACAACTTAAAGAATTAGAAAGAGTAAGTAGAAGGAAGGAAATAATAAAGATAAGAAAAGAGCCCTGCCCTGACCGGTTTGGCTCAGTGGATAGAACGTCGGCCTGCAGACTGAAGGGTCCCAGGTTCGATTCCAGTCAAGGGCATGTACCTTGGTTGCAGGCACATACCCAGTGGGGAGTGTGCAGGAGGCAGCTGATTGATATTTCTCTCTCATCAATGTTTCTAACTCTCTATCCCTTTCCCTTCCTCTCTGTAAAAAAATCAATAAAATATATTTCAAAAAAAGAAAGAAAAGAAAAGAGCCCAGCAGGCTTGGCTCAGTGGTTGAGTGTTGACCTATGAGCCAGGAGGTCACAGTTTGATTCCTAGTCAGGGCACATACCTGGATTTCAGGCTTGATCCCTGGTGTGGGGTGTGTGGGAGGCAACCTATCAATGATTCTCTCTCATCATTGATATTTCTATCTCTCTCTCCTTCTCTCTCCCTCTCTGGAATCAATAAAAATATTTTTTTAAAAAAAGATTAGAGAAGATAAGGTAGTGAAAGGTAGTGAAGACTGGGAGGGGGTTGCTAGGGGCTGGGAATAGAGGGGTGAAAGGGTGGAAATGGGAGATATCTGTAGTACTATCAACAATATTTTTTAAAAGATGACAGCAGAAATAAATGACATAAAGACTAAAAAAACAATACAAAAGCACCAATGAAGCCACGATCTGGTTCTCTGAAAAGATAAACAAGATTGATGAACAAGCCAGCCTCATCAAGAAACAAAGAGAGAGGACCCATATAAATAAAATAAGAATGAAAAATAGTGAAGTAACAACTGACATGTCAGAAATACAAAGGATTGTAATAAAATATATGAACTACTATATATCAACATGCTGGACAGTGTGGGTAAAAAAATCCTAGAAAAATACAATCTTTCAAAATTGAATCAGGAAGAATCAGAAAACCTCAATAGGCCAATAACAACTGATGGAATTGAAGCAGTAAGCAAAAAACTCCCAGAAAACAAAAGCCCTAGCCCATACGGCTTCACAAGGGAGTATTAGCAAAAACACTCAAAGAAGAGCTAACACTTATACAGACAGTCCTCGGGTTACGTTGGACTCGACATACATCATTTTGTGGTTACGTCGCCATCTCCCATTTATTTATTAAAAAAAGGTCCGTCATTTCGACGTATGTACATATATGCTTTATGTTTTTTATTATTTATTTACCACAAGTAAAGGTCAGGAATTGTTATCTTTTAAACTTTTTTTACTGTTTCACTTTATTATTGCTGTGTATGTGGCTCCATGTGAGTGACATAGGTACTTATGTAGGTGGGTTCTCATAGGTATGGATCTCCGGCATAACCCGAGGACCTACTGTACTCCTTAAAATATTCCAAACTCCAAGAGGAAGGAACACCTCCAAGCTCGTTCTGTGATGCCAGCATTATCCTGATTGCAAAACCAGATAAAGACACTAAAAAGAAAGAGAATGACAGGCCAATATCCCTCATGAACATAAATACTAAAATCTTCACTAAATATTAGCAAACTGAATCCAGCAATATATTAAAAGATCATATACCATGAAGAAGGGGGATTCATTCTGGAGATACAAGGTTGTTACAATATTCGCAAATCAATAAACATGATATATCCCATAAACAAACTGAAAGAAAAAGAAATCATATGATCATATCAATAGATGCAGAAAAGCATTCAACAAAATCCAACACCCTTTTTTGATAAAAACTCTCAGCTAAGTGGAAATAGAGGGATTATACCTCAACATAAAAAGGCCTTATATGACAAACCTGTAGCCAACATCATCGTCAATGAGCAAAAACTAAAACCACTTCCTCTAAAAACAGGAACAAGAAAGGAATATCCACTTCCACCACTCTTATTCAAAATAGTACTAGAAGTCCTAGTCAAAGCCATCAGACAAAAAGAAAAAGAAAAAGAAAAACAAAGGCATCCAAATGGGAAAGGTGTATGTAAAACTGTTATTTGCAGATGACATGATATTGTACATAAAAATCCTAAAGACTCCATCAAAAAACTACTAGATTTAATGAATGAATTTGGCAATGTAACAGGATACAAAATTAACACCCAGAAATATAAGGCATTTCTATACACCAATAACTAATTCTCAGAAAGAGAACTAAAAAAAATAATCCCATTTACCACTGCAACAAAAAAATTAACATAGCTAGGAATAAACTTCACGAAGGAGGTAAAAGACTTGTTCTCTGAAAATTACAGGACGTTGAAAAAGAGATAAAGGACAATATAAATAAGTGGAAGAATATACCGTGTTCATGGATTGGTAGAGTTAACATCATTAAAATGTCCATACTACACAAAGCAATCTACAGACTCAAGGGAATCCCCATCAAAATACTAACAGCATATTTCAGAGATCTAGAATAAACATTCCAAAAATTTATGTGGAACCAAAGAAGACCCCAAATAGCCACAACAATCTTGAGAAAGAGGAACAAAGTGGGAGAGATCACAATACCAGATATCAAGTTATACTACAAAGCCACTGTGATCAAAACAGCCCAGTACTGGCACAAGAACAGGCATATAGATCAATGGGACAGAATAGAGAACCCAGAGATCAACCCAGGCCATTACACTCAATTATTATTTGACAAAGGAGGAGAGAGCATACAATGGAGTCAAAACAGTCTCTTCAATAAATGATCTTAAGGAAATTGGACAGATACGTGTAAAAAAATGAAACTAAACTACCAACTTACACCATACACAAGAATAAACTCAAATGGCTAAAAGACTTAAATGTAAGCCAGGAAACCATAAAAATCCTAGAAGAAACCATAGGGAGTTTAATCTCAGACATCTCTAATAGCAATATGTTTGCAGATACATGTCCTAGGGCAAGGGAAATAAAAAAGAAAACAAAGAAATGTGATTACATCAAAATAAAAAAAACTTCTGTACAGCAAAACAAACCATCAACAAAATGAAAAGATATTCTCTTTGCTAATGATACATCTGATAAAGGGTTAATATCCAAAATATATAAGGAACTCATACAACTTAACAAAAGGAGGACAAACATGCCATTTAAAAAATGGGCAAAGGACCTAAATTGTAAACTTCTCCAAAGTGGTCATACAGATGACCAAGAGACATATGAAAAAAAATGCTCTACTTCACTAATCATCAGAGAAATGCAAATTAAAATGACAATGGTATCACCTCACACCTAACGGAATGGCTACCATCAACATATCAACAAATGACAAGTGCTGGTGAGGATGTGCAGTATAGGAAACCCTAATACACTGCTGGTGGGAATGCAGATTGGTGCAGCTGTGACTGAAAACAGTATGGAGTTTCCTCATAAAAATTAAATATGGAGCTGACATTTGACACCACAATTGATCCCACTTCTAGGAGTATATCCTAAGAAACCCAAAACACCAATAAGAAAGAATATATGCACCCCTATGTTCATAGCAGCGCAATTCACAATATCTAAGATACAGAAATAGCCCAAGTGCCCACCAGTAGATGAGCGGATAAGAAATGACATTTGACCAATTGATCCCACTTCTAGGAGTATATCTTAGCAAACTGGAAACACCAAACAGAAAGAATGTATTCACCTCTATGTTCATAGCAGTGCAATTTACAATAGCTAAGATCTGGAAACAGCCCAAGTGCCTGCCCATCAGTAGATGAGTGGATAAAAAAAGCTGTATTATATTTACGTCATGGAATACCATGCAGCAGTAAAAAAGAAGGAGACAGCATAGAGCAGTGATGGCGAACCTTTTGAGCTCGGTGTGTCAGCATTTTGAAAAACCCTAACTTAACTCTGGTGCTGTCTCACATATAGAAATTTTTTGATATTTGCAACCATAGTAAAACAAAGACATATTTTTGATATTTATTTTATATATTTAAATGCCATTTAACAAAGAAAAATCAACCAAAAAAAATGAGTTCATGTTCGCCATCATTGGCATAGAGGGACCTGAAGAGGATTAAGCTAACTGAAATAAGCTGGTCAAAGAAATATAAGTACCATATGATTTCACTCATATGTGAAATCTAATGAACAAAATAGATCAAGAGTCAGAGAAGCATGGACCAGACTGTCAAATCTCAGATGGTAGGCGAGGGTGGGTGGGAAGATATCAACCAAGAAATTGTATTTCCATATGCACAATCCATAGGCACAGACAATAGGAAGGTGAAGGCCTGGGGTGAGCTAGAAGGGGTCAATGAGGAAAAAAGGGGGACATATGTAATACTTTCAAAAAATAAAGATTTAAAAAAGAATAAGGAAAAATAAATAATGTTTTCTAATGCTCTTTATAACTAATTAAGGCATCGTATCTAGACTAATAATGCTATCTGGATAATCACAGTCAAGTCAAATAACCAATATAACATTAAATATTTTATTAATAAATTAATGTTAGTAATTAATAATTTAAATGTTTATTATTAATATTGTTTATTTATATTATTATTAAGATTATTAAAATAGTAAGCAATATTTTATACTTGATAGTTTACACAGAATACATACATGACTCTCCTCTTTAACTGCTCCTTCTAATTGAGCTGCAAATTGTGAACAACATACCAAGAATGAATTTAGATCATCCCCAACCTTTGAAAAGAATAACAAACAGAAAGTTGCTTTTATTTTAGAACCTGTATATATATTCATCTATATTTTAGTACATTTAACTAGTTTTCAAAATAATTTTGTGTGTGTAATTTAGGTTAATTCAAACACATTAGGCAAGAAACCAGGCTCCTAATGCTATACTAGCAAATTCTCCCAGAAAATTTACAAGTACATTCTCGGGAGTGGCTTATTAATGTCATATTCCCAGTTATGTCTCTGCTCTCATTTTCGTCTATCTAGTTGCAGAAAATCAAGCAACCCCAGCCTTAGACTCCTGAAATATTATGAATGGCCAAAAAAAAGTAACTACTATGTGTATACCTTATAAATATCTTTGTGTTTAAAAATGAATGCTAATTATGACTTCTGATTATAAAGTACACAGAGGTGGGCAAAAGTAGGTCTACAGTTGTTCATTTGGAAAAAAATATAATACAACAATAAATAATAATACAAGATTATGTACTCACAACTATAAACTTTTTTGCCCACGTGTGTGTGTCTGTGTGTGTGTTAAACTTTAAGGAAGTGTCATTGACAGAGGATGGAAAAATCAGTACACTATTTTTAAGTATCCTAAGTGGATCATTTTTAATGGATAAGGAATTTATTCTGTAAACATATGTGAACACAAAAGAAAATCTTAGCCCTTTTCAGTGTTCATTTCTCTACATTAGAATTTGCATATACTTACAGATAAAGATACTTCTTCAGGTTCAGACTTTACAAGTGGGTTTTCTACATTTTCACTGCCCATTCCGTAGGTTTCTTCCAAAGTAGAAACAACCTAAGAGAAAAAGCAAACTAAGTACATTTACAGTTTAAAATTATTACATTAAATGTAAAAATATATTAAATCAACCATGTCAGGACCTTTTCGGCAATAAGACTATTTCTGCCCAGCCAGCGTGTCTCAGCAGTTGAGTGTTGATCCAAAAACCAAAGAGGTCCCTGGTTTGATTCCTGGTCAGGGCACATGTCCAGGTTTCAGACTCAATACCCAGTGGGGGGACATGCAAGAGGCAGCCCATTGATGATGTTTCACTCTCATCAATATTTCTATCTCTCTATCCCTCTCCCTTCCTCTCTCTCTAAAATCAGTAAAGGAAAAAAATTATTTTTGCCAGTACTCAACTTAAATTTTCCATCTTATGCCCCAGCTCATATCATCATGAAGAAGTCATGAGCAACAGTCCTTAACCCTACTTCCTAGCAAAAGAGGCCCTATGACTCTTCCATTTCTGTATTGACAGTGTTTAAAAAGGAGAGGGTCTGCCTAGGCATAGCTGAAGCATCAACTTTACTTTACCACTGACGTATTCCTAAAAATTTAACTGACTCAACTTTCTTCTCTGGAGAGAGTAGGGAAAATAGAGAGATGGAAATCAGAAAGCAATACATTTTTTAAAGCATAAGTCGCCATCCTTTCAGACCTCACAGACCACCAGTGGTCTGCAGACCACCAGTTGGCAACCACTGTTTTAAAGGAAATTATCTGAATTAACCCCTCAAACTTTGAGCAAACTTATATTTTGGAAGTTTGGCAAACTATATTTTTTTTATGTTTGTGCTATTCCTCATTTTTCAGTGTTTATACCAATGGTATTTGGTACATTTATAATTTAACTAGAGGCCCAGTGCACAGATTCATGCACATTGAAAGAAATTAATTAGAAGGTGGCCAGCAGGGTGGGACTAGGTGAGACGGGCCGGACATGCCCTGGAGCCAACCTCCTATGGTCCCTCCCTGGCTGGCTGCACCAGGGGCAGCACCAGGGCTTGAAGGGCATCTGCAAAGTGAGCGGAGTCCCTCCGGAAGGTGGGGTCCTCAGCCTGCCCTGCGGGGATCAAGCCGAAACTGGCAGTCTGACATCCCCTGAGGAGTCCTGGAGTGTGAGAGGGAACTCCGCAAAGTTGCTGTCGCTCAGCAGCTCCTGGGTTGAGCATCTGCCCCATGGTGGTCAGTGTGTGTCATAGCTACCAGCCAGTCAGCCACTCGCTTAGCCTTTTATATATATATATAGATTCTGGATCATTGAGCAAAAAGAACCCCACAGAAAGGGAAATTTATTTCCCAACACAGGAGCTAAAGTTTCTAAAGTGCAGAGATTAGGTGACAGAGCAGGCATGAGACTTCAAAAAACCTATTCCTAAAAAAAGATCTGTATGCATCTCAGAACTTGGATTTCAGAAGGGTTCCCACCATTCACTAACTGATCTGTCCCTACACTGTTTGTACAAACAATAACTAATGTTAACACCTGCTTTCCTCCAGGGAGTCTGGAATTTGATACATGATAGGCAGAGAGTACCTAGGTGATCAAGCCCCAATAAAACCCTGGGCGCTGAGTCTGCAATGAACTTCTCTTGTAGACATTTCATATGTTTTGTCACAATTTGTTGTTGGAGGAATTAAGACATGTTCTGTGTGACTCCAAAAGGAGGGGACTCTTGGGAGTTTGTACCTTGTTTCCTCTAGACTTCACCAATGTGCCTTCTTCTCCTTTTGTTGGTTTTGCTTTGTATTCTTTCACTATAATAAATCTTAACCATCAATATGACTATATGCTGAACCCAGTGAGTCCACCCAGCAAATCACTAAACCCAGAAAAGGTCATGGGACCCTCCACACAGGAACAAACAAATGACTTACCATCTTTAGATGTTTGGTAATTTTTCTGAGCAATTCATCTTCTGCTATTAATTCCTTTGTCTTACTTGATGGAATGGGCAAAGCATACCTCACAACGGATTCTCCTGTTGGTGGAGATCTTAAGACCATTGGTTCAAGTTTCTCACGCACTAACTTTGAACTTTGTTTTTCCTTTGGTTTAGGTGACAATAGTGAATTATGAAATCCTTTATTGTAACTTAATTCTGGAACACTTGCCAATTTATTACTAGAGGGCAACAGATGCTTTACTGGCTTCATTTTGTTATTTACTTATCTTCCAAATTATAGGTGAAAAAATTTTATTCCTTCCTGAGAATAAAAGATAAAGATTTCGGATTTAAAATGATGGCAGGATTATTTATTGCCATAAAGATGTTAAATCCCCAAATCAACTCTGGCGAAATTAAAAAATGAAAATGGAAACATCCCTAACAAAAATTAATATGTTTTTAAAATCTAAAATATTTGCAAATCAATAAACATGATACATCGTATAAAGAAACTGAAAAAAAAACATTTGATCATATCAATAGATGCAGAAATAGCATTCAACAAAATCCAACACCCTTTTTTGATAAAAACTCTCAGCTAAGTGGGAATAGAGGGATCTTATATCAACATAATGAAGGCTATATATAACAAACCTACAACCAACATCATACTAAATGGGAAAAACCAAAAACTACTCCCTCTAAAGACAGGAACAAGACATGGATGTCCACTTTCACCACTCTTACTCAACATAGTACTGGAAGTCCTAGTCAGAGCCATCAGGCGAGGAGAAAACATAAAAGGCATCAATATTGGAAAAGAGGAAGTAAACCTGTCATTATTTGCAAATGACATGATACTGTACATAGAAAACCCCAAAGACTCCACCAAAAGGTACTAGATTTAATAAATGAATTATTAGCAGGATACAAAATTAACACCCAGAAATATAAGGCATTTTTATACACCAATAACAAATTCTCAGAAAGAGAAACTAAAAAAATAATCCCATTTACCACTGCAACAACAACAACAAAAATACGATTCTTAGGAATAAACTTCACGAAGGAGATAAAAGACTTGTACTCTGAAAACTATAGGACGTTGAAAAAGAGATAGAGGAAAATATAAACAAGTGGAAGAATATACCGTGTTCATGGATTGGTAGAGATAACATCATAAAAATGTCCATACTACACTAAGCAATCTATAGATTCAATACAATCCCCATCAAAATACCAATGGCATATTTCAGAGATTTAGAATAAATATTCCAAAAATTTATGTGGAACCAAAGAAGACCCCAAATAGCCACAGGAATTTTGAGAAAGAGGAACAAAGTGGGAGAGATCACAATACCAGATATCAAGTTATACTACAAAGCCACTGTAATTAAAACAGACCGGTGCTGGTACAAGAACAGGCATATAAATCAATGGAAGAGAAGAGACCCCAGAAATTATGGACTCAAGCCATAAGGCTCGATTAGTATTTGACAAAGGAGCAAAGAGCATACCATAGAGTCAAAACAGTCTCTTCAATAAATGGTGTTGAGAACATTGGACAGATACATGCAAAAAAAAAATGAAACTAGACCACCAATTTATACCACACACAGGAATAAACTCAAAATAGGAAAAGACTTAAATGTAAGCCAGGAAACCATATAAATCCTAGAAGAAACCATAGGCAGCAAAATCTCAGACAGCTCTTGCAACAATATGTTTACAGATACATCTCCTAGGTCAAGGGAAACAAAAGAGAAAATAAAGAAAGGAGACTATCAAAATAAAAAGCTTTTTCACAGTAAAAGAAACCATCAACAAAATGAAAAGGTAATCCACTGTATGAGAGGACATATTTACCAATGATACATCTGATAAGGGTTACTATCCAAAACATATAAGCAACTCGTACAACTTAACAAAAAGACTAACAATCCAATTAAAAAAAATGGGCAAAGGACCCAAATAGATACTTCTCTAAAGTGAACATACAAATAGCCAAAAGACATATGAAAAAAATGCTCAAACTCACTAATCGTAAGAGAGATGCAAATTAAAATGAGATATCATCTTGCACCTATCGTAATGGCTAACATCAACAAATCAACAAATGACAAGTGCTGGTGAGGATGTGGAGAATTAGGAACCCTAGTACACTTCTGATGAGAATGCAGACTGTTGCAGCCATTGTGGAAAATAGTATGGAGTTTCCTTCCAAAATTAAAACTGGAACTGACATTTGACTAAGTGACCCCACTTCTAGGAATATATCTTAAGAATCCCAGAACACCAATCAGAAAGAATGTATGCACCCCTACGTTCATAGCAGCACAATTTAAAATAGCTAAGATCTGGAAACAGCCCAAGTTTTCATCAGTAGATGAGTGTATAAAAAACGGTTGCCAAAATCGGTTTGGCTCAGTGGATAGAGCATCGGCCTGAGGACTGAAGGGTCCCAGGTTCGATTCTGGTCAAGGGCATGTACCTTGGTTGCAGGCATATCCCCAATAGGAGATGTTCAGGAGGCAGCTGATCGATGTTTCTCTCTCATGTATGTTTCTAACTCTCTATCTCTCTCCCTTCCTCTCTGTAAAAAATCAATAAAATATATTTTTTTAAAAACTGTGGTACATTTACACCATGGAATACTATGCAGCAGTAAAAAAGAAAGATCTCCTACCCTTTGAGACAGCATGGATGGACCTGGAGAGGATTATGCTAAGTGAAATCAGCCAGTCAAAGAAAGATAAGTATCACATGATCTCACTCATGTGTGGAATATAATGAACAAAATAGATCCAGGGACACAGAAGCATGGAAGAAACTGTCAAATCTCATAGGGAAGGTGGGGTGAGTAGGAAGATATTAACCAAACAACTTGTATGCATATAAGCATAACCTATGGACACAGACAATAGTGTGGTGAAGGGCAGGGGCAGAGAGTGGTGTGGGCTAGAAGGAATCAATTGGGTTGGGGAAGGGACATCTGTAATACTTTCAACAACATTTTTAAAAATTTAAGTTTAAATTAAAAACAAAACAAAACAGAACACCTGTAAGAAACCCTGAGAGGTGACTAAAGATTGATGTATGTATGGGCACAAAGAATGGGGCCGATGGGAGGGAAGAAGCCAGTAGTAGCAGTGAGATAACATATTTAGAAAACTTTAAAATATTATTCTTAGCTTTCCCCCATTTTTAAGCTAATATATACCCTTTATATTAGTCCCACAGAAGTAAAATCTTAGGTGCAGAGTATGAGCAGATTAATATCAAGGCAGCACCAAATCATGATTGAGCAGACCTTAAAGCTTAAGACTCTGATTCTACTTCTCTTTCTCTCTAAAGCTGATTAAGACTCAAGACAGGAGAGAAACTAAGATGGCGGCAGAGATAAACACCGGGAAATTAACGCCGCACACAACAATTGATTAATACCTCAGAGAAACAATACGGACTTCACCCAGAACCACAGGAAGCCTGGCTGACTGTAAACTCTACAACTAGAAGGAAGGAAGGGCACACTGAGACCCACAGAAGCTGCAGGAGAGAAGCACAGAGGTAGGGGCTCACGCGGGGCTCGCGCGCGCGGAAAGGGACTGGCACCTGAGGACGCGGCTCTCTTTTTGAATCCGGAGGGAGGCACAAGCCCCCGACGGCTCTGAACTCCGGTTCCGGGAAGTCTCTGGGGACCCAGGAGTCATG